GCGGTAGTTGCTAAACTCGGAGACTCAGTTGGTGTGTAAACCTGGTGCTTTCCGTTTCGCGCAAAACGTACTGCGGATACTCATTGCCAGAATTTGTCTGTTTCGATAGACGCGGGGCTAAGTAGGATAGGGGTGGTTGGTTGGGTTGATGAACGAAAAACGACAAAGCACTCACCACGTGCGAGTCTCTGCCTCATGAGCGAAAATCCAGTCAATTCTGGTGAATTCTCACGTAAAGCGTTTGAAGCAGCTTCCGTGCGCAACGACATGTTGTCCCGTGTTGAAAATACCAGCTGAACACCTCGACGGCCTGGTGGAACTGGTACAAACTCGACTGCAGGGCCAACTTTCGGGTGAGTGACAACTTCACCAAAAGGTTTGTGCATGCGGTTGGTTATTTTTGGCGGAAACGGCCGGCTGTTGATCATAAGACTATTGCTTGATGGACCTGGAAAGATTCGGCCCCATATTTGGCATTACCATCGTGCCCTACTTTCCGCGTTGATCCGAGTGCCGCTGTTATATAATTTGATTTCTTTTGATGAAGGAAACGCACCAACCGTGTTGAATCTTTGCCTCCTCGGCGGGTTTCGAGTCAAATCCGATGTATTCTCAAGTTCTGGGGCCGAAGCAGCTTACCCGCAGCCTAAAATTGTTCTGTCACATTGAAAAACCCAGCTGAACATCTAGCCAACCTGCTGCAACTGCTACGAACTCAACTGGAGGGCCAGATCCTGGGTGAGTGACACCTGCATCAAACGGCACGGACGTGACGTTGATTTTTGAAGGTTGCAAAGCTGGGTGTTGATTGTTCAGCAGTAGTGAAGAGAGTCGGCGCCATGTGTGATTGTCTGTGGTGTGTGAACATAATGCCTTTTTTTCTGTTTTGTTCTGACCCATTCAATATTAGTCTAGGTCCAATCTATCATGGTAACACCATTTTTCAGAATCCAATACCTCCATGCCAGGCGTCCCGACCTGAATAGCGCAATCATTGAGGCAACGCGCGTGTCGGCACGTTCAGATCTACAGCTGGGGCGGAGATATCAAAGGCTGCGACTGTGGCTCAAAAGTCCGCATTTTCAAGCGACGACAAACCCGTGTCACTGCTGTGCTCGCCGCCACGAATTTGAACTTCCTGAGTTGCTGGTCGCCCAACAAAGGAGATAATCGCATCAGCGATTGCTGCAGACCCGCAGTTCAGGAGATTGGGGTATGTGTCGGCAGTGAAACAGTGGAAGATGTCTGGCTTCGGTCCTTAAGCTCGAGTTCTAAAATTCAAGTATCTAACCCGCAAAACGAAAACATCCTCCCACGTTGAAATACTTCGGTGACAAAGCGCTTGATCGCCTGCTCCGACTGGAACGAACCATACTGGAGGGGCAATTCTCGGGTGAGTGGCACCTTTATCAAATGGTACGGACATGCAGTTGGTTTTACATTGGCACCAAGCCGCCTGCTGTTGATCGTAAATGCTTGGCAGCAGCGAACAGACTCGGCCTGTATTGGGTGCAACCTCGGTTACGTATGTACGGCCGGAAGTCGAGTACCGTTTGCGTCACTCAAAACTGGTTTTCTTCACGTTGTTCAGGGCGGTTGGAGGATGAAGTTGGTTTCTGATTTGATGAAGGAAAGTCAGCATGGTCGGATCTTCCGCCTGGGTGGATTTCCGCTTAACTTCGATTTATGCTCGAGGTCTGCAATGAATGGAAGTGCCCACAATCGTCACGAAAATGTTGTCTCACGTTGAAATACGAGCTGAAGACAGTAACGAGCTGGAGCAGCTGGTACGAACTCGTCTGCAGGACCAACTCTCGAGCAAGTGACACTTTCATCAGATGATACGGACGTGCACTAAATTCTGATCAAGTGCGGCGACGGCCGCCAGTTGATCGTGAAGGCTTCGCATTAATCGGCAGACTCGGCTCAAATGTTGGCGTAACCTCGGCGCCTCATTTTCCGCGTTGAAGTGAGTGCCTGATCTTTCGTCCGATGGTTCATTTTTCGGTCAAAGCGTGAGGCACTACGTAAGATGGAGTTTGTGTCTTGGTTGAAATAAATGCAGCATGATCGGATCTTAGCCTCCTGGGTAAACTTTGGCCGGTTTGTCGCCGAGTTCTGCAATCGAAGCATCTCACCTACACAACGAAAATACCCTTCCATGCTGAATGCTCAGGTGATGAAGAGCTTGAGCGCCTGCTCCAACTGGCACGAACCACACTGGAGGACCAAGTTTCGGGTAAGTAACACCTGGATCAAATGGTCCGGACATGCATTGGTTTAATCAGGCGTCAAAAAGCGGGCGGTTGATCGTGACTGCTTAGCGGTAACGACCAGACTCGGCCCCATGTTTGGCACAACCTCGCTGCCTGACGTACTGCCTTGAGTCTAGTGCCAATGGTAATTCGAAAATTATTTTCTGTACAAAATTGAGTTTTTTTGTGGACAATGCTGGTTTCTGATTTGATTAACGAAAAGCAGCATGGTCGGCACTTCTTCCTGGATGAAAATCCTCTTGAATCCGATTCATCCTACTGAAGAAGCGTTCGAAGCAGCTCACACTTGCCACAAAAATGTTAACCCATTTTGAAAATACCAGCTGAAGACGTGTACAAACTAGTGCAGCTGGTGCAAACTTCCCTGCAGGACCAACTCCCGGGTGAGTGACAACTGCACCAAACGGCACGTGCAGCTAGATACTGCTGGCGGCAACAGCCGGCTGGTGATCGTGATGAGTGGCAGTTGCCACACTCAGCCCCATGTTTGGTGTTGAAATCCTGCTACTACTTTGAGTGTTGAGTAGAGTGTCAACTCTTTCCCCCGGAACTTTCTTGGGGTAGACCTCCGAACTAGTTAGGACGGAGCTGGTTCACTTGTTTAATGGACGGTATGCACCCACTGTGTTCGAATCGTTGCCTCCTCATTGTAAGTCCATTAAAATCCGGTGTATCCTGAATTTTGCGATCGAAGCCGGTCGCTCCCAGAGCTATTCTCCCATGTTGAAATACTCAGCTGAAGACCTGAACGACCTGGTGCAACTCCTACAAACTCAGGTGGAGGGGCGGATCCCGGGTGAGTGATACGTGCATCAAACGGTACGGACGATCTCCGTTAGTCAGCGGTTCTGCCGTAATTGATATCAAACACCTGAGGATTATATTTGTAGTGAAAATGTGGCCTTTAACTTCGTGCTGCTGCTTTCAAGCGCATGCATCGAATGTTGTAGCATTTTCTTGAGCTACAGCTGCTCATGAGCGGCAAGCTGGAAGTCAACCGAACATGAAACGTTCGCTGCGGGTTGTCGGTGCTTTGTCGGAGTGCAAGAATTAAGGTTTGAGTTACCGGACGTCTTTCCGATTCTGCTCCCTGGCTGCGGACGATAGATCTGGAAAGATAGGCAACCCATCCCTTGTTGTTTTGAGCTCAACCATGGGTCGGGAGAGATGAGCAACCCACTGTGGATGGAAAACACTCACCTCCTATCGTATGCGATCTTTGTTAATGATCGGACCGGACGTGGCCGTTTTCAGCTGCGACTCTCCGGGTCAGTGAAGTTTTATTTCAAATCGGGCGGATACCCCCAAAATTGAAGACAGAGGACACAGGGCTTTGAGGTCGTGGAATATTTTTTGTATTTGGAATGAATGTGCGACCCAGACCTTCATTGAGAATGCACGGCGGGCCGAAACATCCATGTCGATCGATGGTTTTTAATTTTCATTGTTCGACCCTGTGGTTCTCCTTGATGTGGTCATCACTAGCAAGGCTGTCGGTCGAACTCTGTCCAAACCTTTCGCCTGGAAGGAGATTGGATATGTTGTGCATGGACCATAAACAAGGAGGTCCGGGGACCGCACCGTCTCTATACCTCGTAGGTGCTGATCATACTTTTGTACGCTGAGAAGTTCAGGTCTTCGGTATGCTGAGGAGATCAAGAATGGCCAAAGGCAGCTCCACGAGGCGGAGAAGCGCTTTCGAACCCGTGAGTGACATTAAGAGATAAAGTTAAGGCTGGGCCGCAATCCTTTTCACATTTCGCTTGATTTTGAAAAGGTAGGATAAATTGCACTCTGTACCTAGTACGAATATGGTCTCTGCCGAACTCAATGAAGGAGGGGTCGTTTCGAAAGCTGTGAGCGTTGAATTGCAGTTCGTCACATGCCCTTGAATCTGTGCGTAAGTTGGCACTCAACCAACTGCTGCAACTATATATCGCGATGGTAGGTTTCATACTGAATACTGAGTGCAGTTTACCCCGCCTTTTCAGAACGCGACGACTTTTGAAAAGGGTTGGGGCGCAGCCATAAGAACGGACTTCAATTATACCGTTGAGATACCCTCCCAACCCCCCCACGTGTGCAGTAGATGGTAATGCGTTGGATCGTGATCTCTGCCGGAAGTCTGATTTTCGGTAGACTGTTGTCTCTTGTCAAGCATGCGCGTGTCAATGGAAGCAAATGATCAATTCGTCTGTTTGAATGTAGAACGATGGTCCGTGGTCAGGGCTGCCCTAATTTTGTGTGTTGAAGAGGAGTAGAGAGGGAGATATGGTTGGGAACCGCACGGAAGGGGAAGCCGCACGTGCTGGAGGGGTGCACCGACGGCCGTGGCGGTCGTGCTATCTTAGAATACAGAATACACGTCGATGCTCAATTCATTTGGAGCTTCCGGTCAGTTCTTTTCATATAGTGTGAGGTAAATGATGGCATCACCTTCGGCGAAGGTCGCGTCGCTATAGCCACGCCGTCGCAAAGAGGAATAACCAATCGTGAGCTTGGTGAGCACCGACTGATCGTTCTCTATCCTCGACAGTGATTGTTGAAAGATCTAGCGTTCGTTATTAGTACTCGAAGGGTGGTCTCTCAACGAGAGTCTCTGTCGTCTTCCGTTGTTCGTGGCGCAAATTGTCTTGTTTGAGTTGTGAAAAGTGTGACTGGACCTTGTATGCAGGTAGACTTGCCTTTTGTACATGCAATACAACCACAAGTTTTGTGCTTCGCATGACCGCTCGCCCACATGCAGTTGTTCGTCAATACGAGGAGGACCAGGCGAAGGAGTTTAAGCTCTCTTCCGGGAACGCAAGTGAGGAGAAGGACGACAGTTATCAGAGAGGTTTTACACTCCCTCTCATCCTCCACCCAAGAGTGTTTCGTGCATCGCTTGGCCTGGACAACAGGGTCAACAGGCTAAGCGACTGGATCATTGATGTGTCAACCGAGAAGATATCTTTCTCCTTTCCGGCTGTTGCTACCATCTTGCCGTCAGCTTGGGTGGACGCGATCGCTGCTGTCGAGGTGTTACGCAAAGAGCAGGGGACACCGTAGGTGCTGTGGGGTGATGCAGTGAAAGCGTTCCAGCGATATTTTCAAGAGAAGCACAAAGAGGAGCGTGAAGACGAGCGAAACAAGCCTCTGTCTGACGAGGAGGCTTCGAGCAACCTCAAGGAAGCCATGAAGCATCGAGAGGCGGAGGGAGGGGTGATATTGTCTTTGCGGGAAGAGTCTTCCCCCGCACAAAGTGACATGATTCACGTGGATCCTCGGTGGCTCATCGACCTCGTGAGGCGGGTCACAGATCACAACCTCGTGGACAAGAAAAACGAACACGAGATATTGAAGGAGCTGCTCGAGTACGGCAGAACCCGGCCCGACACTCTCAGTGGGTACAAGAACCTGTGCGAAACACACACGTGAGTCGAGTTTTGGCATAGCCGCGGACGCCTCAGCCATCATGTTGACACGTTGTGGAGAATTCGCTTCTAACATGTACCGTGGACATAGTGTGCCTGGGCCGCGAGGAAATGTCCATGCTGTTCACCATGCGAATGTTGGGGCGTGTGGTAACACTGTCTTGATGCCGGGCTTGCACTGCAGATTCCATCGGCTGAATATCACGCACGAAACTGTTTCATTACGGTCACGATGAGGGCTCCCTTCCTCACGTCTTCGGCAGGTGCTTTATTCGACAGGGTCGCCTGAACCGGAAATACCTTCGGTTTCTGTGGGTCCATCGCAAGCTGGAAGTCGAAGGCGGTTACGCGGGGGTTCAATTAGAGAACGACACCTTCGACAGCATGGTGGACACCATGATCAAGTACTTGTTCATTTACCCCTCTCACGGGGAGTGCAGCAAAGCGGAGGGCTTTTACATCGTGCCGGCGAGGTTACCAGAGATTGGGAAAGATAACGTTCTGGAGGAAAGCATCGGGCTCGACGAGGTGGTGGTGGGAAAGACAGCGTGGTTCCTGCGGAGCCACGCCCCAACAGGAATAATTGGGTGCTTTTTGGCCTTCACCTCAAGCAGATTTGAGGCTTCAGGCGAATGCTGGCAGCACGGGGCTCACATTCAGTGGAAAAAGGACTCTAACGAGCACGACATGCTTCTTTGCGAGACCACGATTGAAAAGGACATAATCCCCGGACCGGGCACCCTCCCTGCGATTGCTATTTGCGTCAAGGGCAAGACTGCCGAAGCTAAGGGCGTCCTGCGAGAGGTTGGAGAACAGCTATTGAGTCTTCTCAAAGACGTTATCCACGGTCACCCGGGACTCCGCTTGCCGATATTCGAGGAGCTTAACATCACCCAATCCGACTAATTCCAAGTGCACTTCGAGCGATACCTGGCCACAAAATTGGCTACAATACTGGAAGATACCAGGCGTGAATCCGTTCGGATGTTCCGGGCGGCGTTTCCATCATATGGTGAGCACGTCGAGCTTCTGTATCCACGACTGGTGCTACTCAAGCCGGTCGAGACCACTAGTATCCAGGAAACGCAAGTCGAGAGCGTTAGTGGCGCCAAAAAACTGCGCAGGACGTGGGACCGGTGGATAGACCTCTGCTGGTCGGGTGGCAGCTGCGACTTTGTTCTCGTCATTCTGTGCGAGCGCGACTTCTCGGAAATTCCTTGTGGGCCACAGGGCAAGGGTTTCAGGGTACACAACCCGGGCTCATTGTTCAACACGTTGAAGCCCTTGCTTCAGGTGAGTTTCGAAAATGGTTATGATCCTGAATCAATGCTTTCTGTTCGGGTTAATGAACGAAACGACTCCAAATCCTTTTCGCATCGGTTCGAAGAAGAGGGACAGCTTGCAGCTGACTAGTGAGCGACAGATGAAAGAGAGGAAGCCCACTTCTTTTTCGATAGCTTTCTGCTACTATACGACCGGCATAGAAGGGGTCTCATTGCCCCCCAGGAGTTTCGATCCTTCCTTCCGCAGTATTTGAAGAAACATTTCTGCGGATCCTCTTTTTTTTTCTATTCTACCGAACCCCGATAATACAGCGCAGCTGAACCCCCTTTTTGAACGAAGTTGCGGGCCCCCGTGCTTTCGAAACATTACTTTCCGGGACCCCCTTCCCCCACTATTTTGTTGTGGGGGCCCGACGTCTGTGCCAAACAACCTGTCTCTTCGCTGGATTCACTTTACACACATAAGCAGACGATACAGAATATTGAGTGGGATGAGACCAACTGTCGAGCAGAATCCGCCCTCCGGCACGACGCACGCCCTCTCACACTGTTCATCCATGAGTCTGCGTCGTCCTAGCATTAGCTTTCTGTCTCTCTCCCCCCCTCTCCCCCCTCCTGATTTGTTTCCTCGCGGCGGGGAAAAATAACGGATAAGCCTAGAATTGGAGGCAGTCTTGGCCAAGGACAATGTTTGCTATTTTTCTTCACTTCAAATCAGCGCTCACAGCACCATTTTATTTAGCGCCGTTTACTCCAACCCGTGGTCACACAGAAGAGGCCCTCTCTACCTTCCCCTCCTACGGTACGTTGCCTTCGATTTTTAATGCGAGAAGTGTTCAGCACTCTCTTCCCTCTGTGTACACACGAACTAGCGCTATCCACTAGGCCAGAACCCCTGACCTGACCTCTACAAAGTGTCGAAGATACCAACCAGACTACCGTGGCGACTGGTAATGTTAGTTGTGTAATGTTAGAAACGGTGTTCGCCAAGCGTCTGCCTCCATCTGCCGGTGCGGGAAAGTTTGTTGCACGTTACAACGGGAGGAAAATACAGATATCCAAGCAATACGGCACAGTCAACACACCACGACATTGGCTCCGGTTGTGTTTCGGAAACCCTCTGCTCCGGTGCGCTTCATCCTACAGGGAGCGCTTTGGCTGGTGAAGATCGCTGTCGGGACCGTGGCCAGCGTCTATCTTCCACTTCACGACGTACTCGAAGCTTTCCTCCACGCCACCGCAGCCGAGGTGCTTGAGGCCGCGCCCAGCCAGTTCAGCCCAAGTGCCACTCTCGATGAAGGGCAGCAAGAGGGGTTTAAGGAATTGCACGGACCGGCGTACAAGGCCTTGTGCGATTTCATGAGAAAAGAGGAGTTCGGCCCAGAAGAGGCGCAGTGCTGTCCGTGCTTGCCTTGGCACCGCCCCCGGGTTCACGAGCCCATACTGAGTGAATTCGATTGGAGAAGTCACATGTACAAGATAAAGAATGGTGTTGGATACTCGTGGGTTCGAAAGTCTAGCGAGCAGTAACCTCAAAATAATAGTGGAGGATAGGAACATAGCGCACAGTTGGCCTCCCTGGCGCTTCGGCGATGTCCATCAACAATTCTTTGCCGCCCTTTTTCATCCCGCACGCAATAGTTTTTGTATGTGCTGTTTGGTGTACCCCCGCAGTCCGTCGAGTTCATTCACATCCGTTCATCTCTTGTGTGGTCAATCCCGTAGGAAATAGCATAGGATATGTCGCATGGCTGTGTGTGTTTGTTGTTGGCCAACTAACTCTCTTATTTCGTTGCTCGTAATATTCCCCATGCTCGATTTCACAACACGACCAAGGACACATTTTTCTTGCCGTCGGTGTCCAACTTCAAGTACCTCGGGTGGCGCGTGTGTTGCGTGATGTTGTGCCGAGTTAGGCAGGTTCCCGCTGGATGGGAGGGCTTGCGCGGTATGGCGGTTTGGGGGGGGTTGCAGATTGTATTACGTGCGTTGAGGTGGGGGTTGGCGTTGAGTTCGGCTAGATTTTGTTGTGTCTGGTTGAACGAAACGGCCGGTGTAGGGGTAGGCTTGGCTCGGACCGGTCTTGGTTTGCTTGAGTGCGGATTTGGGTTTGGATAGCAAGGGCTTGAATAGAGGTGGTTTCAAAACGAGCGTGAGCATTCGACCAAACGCCCGACTTGTGGAGGAAGGAGTGGACAGCTTTTCAGAGTTTGACCTGGCTGAGTTGTGCAGACGAGGCATCCGTACTCGCTGTACGTCCTGTCTCAGCTGGAGTTTTCTGTGCTTTGATGCTAACCATGTCGCTCAAGAAGCGCCGAAAAGAAATCTGTGAATACTTTTGTGGTCAAGGAACTCTGCACGGGCCGCCCCCCTTGAGTCCTGCCTCAGGAAGGCGTCAGATCTACCTTCCAAAAATGCAAAGACAAGGCAGACTCATATTTCGCAGGGCGTGCGTCTCATAAATATTTGAAACAGCTGCACTGCAGACATTTGTTCAGACGGCCGTCTGGCTGGGGCTCTGGAGTCGACCTTTGACCACCCGAAAGAAGTAACTCCCTTCCATGCCTCCTACTTCACCTGGATGTAGGACACAGAGGTACATGATATTATCCACCTGTTTATTCAAGCAATGTTGTGGTCGTTTCTAGTAAAAACCAACCCCATTTTCTTGATCCCAACTGTTGTCTCAGAGCTCGCAACAGCTACGCAAAGCGAGCTCGCGGCGGGTCCTCCGCACATACTGTCCCAAGAGCCATCAATTGTCGTCTTGGAAAATTGCGTGAAACAGGCCCCACTCGTGTGGGATCGGGTCGAGCAGACCTCTCGCATGCGCTTTTTCTGGGATGTATTCCGCAACGGCGACAACTAGCTACGCGCTCATGGGGCACCTGCAATTTTTAAGGATCGGGCGTGAAGTGCCGGAAATGATGGAGCAGTTTCTCCAAACTGGGAATCATGAGACGTGTGAGAGGTCTTCTGCGGCGAGTCCCACGTCTATGACGTTCTTTGAAGCGGAGCAGGCGTACTATACGCATAGACATCGTAAGCTTCGTATGTGCTTCTGAGGGCAGTCAAAAAGAGGAGATACTCAAATTAATGATTTGACCCCGCGGTAGTGACGGCAACTACGCGCCTCGAGTGCGGCCCAGTCTGAATAGACGATTTCATAGTTTCCACTGTTCGTGGTAAAAAGGATTGGTCGGAATGCAGATAACGGCAGTTTCAAATATCGCAGATTGGAACATCTGGAGGTTTACACAGACTATACGTAGACTATGTGTGTGCCTTTTTTATTAGCATAGACCGCGCTAACCGGCTGGCCAACGAAAATACGTCAAAGTGCGGTCGACAACACAAAATGCTACTCCTATATAGTCTAAGCTTCAATTTGCCACGATCTGGGATCCTGTGACCGTGCGCCATGGAGGAGTCTACCCTACTACTCTCCGGAATAAACACGGATACCGTAACGGTAGCAATAACAGAAGAAAACTGCACGTTTGGGTGCAATACTTTGCTATTTACTGGTACTAATAAATAGATTTGGGTGCGCGAGCGTTTTGGATTGCATTCATTCATGGGAATACCACCACTCTCGTTGCGAGTATTCCCACTTCTTTTTGGCAGGACTTCTCCAGTCCTGCGGCGACTGTTGTGAGGAAAAGGGCATCTGGCTCAAACCCTTTTCTCTCTTCCACGCCATGTTTTCCTCCTCAATCATCGCCTTTATTCATTCTCCTTTCTTTCCTCTCCTCCATCGCCGTCACTCCTAATACACAGAACGGGCCTGCAATCAAGAAATATTATTTTGAGAAAAACTGGCTCAAGTTTTAACGGAAAATACGAAAACAGGGCTAAGAAACTCAGCTCAATCTCGGCCACAACATAAGAAACGTCCCAATAAGAAACATGACCGTGCGATACCCCCCCGATATAAGAAACAAGAGGGGTTGCTGGGGGAGCGCGCCCGATAAGAAACGTCCCGCTGATGATCTGCTGCCATGCTCCCGTCCCCTACCTAGCTCATGTAATCCAGTATTTATTGGTAGGGGGGGGGGAGGATACTTTCGCGGCGGCCCCCGCGCCCCCGCGCGGCCGCGGGCTGCGCTATATATACCCACCAGCCACTGCTGCTGTACTGGTGTGTGTTGTTTTCGTCCCCAGAAATAAGTAAGAAAATATGGAACCAAGAGATGAGCAAGATGATGCGACAGCCCAAAGGAATAAGAAATCCGTTGTAAGAAGTTGGGCCGACTTGGGCGAGTCCTTCTGTCCAAAATACGATATTGAGGCTCGCCCCGATTTTGACGTTTCTTATCTCCGGGCCCGTTCTGTAGTTGCTCTCAATACCGTCGTTATCGCTTTCACCGGAACTACAGTACTATTATCCTAACCTATTGGTCGTGGTGGAAGTTGGTCGATCAGTAGTCAACATGACGTTGGAAAACATCACGAATTTTACCGACAGAAAACGAGCCAGCTCGAAGGTGAACCGTCTTCCAATTCTGTGCAGTACAAGACCACTTAGGTATGTAATCCTTCAGCAGGCAAAGCAAAGTTGTTTTATCGTCGAAGTTCCCCTGCAAAATGCTTCGTAGGACAGATGGTTGGCGATAGCTACGAATAATCGATTGGGGACTTGGTCAAGACCACCATACGTTCAAAATACACAGCAGTAATAAGGCGGGCAGACTGTAGTCTAGATCTACAAACGTTGACTTGTTGCAAGTTCCCGCATACAAGTAGTCTAGTGGTTTGTTTGCCTTACTTGCAAGTCGATCTTCGAGGAGTGTGGATCCTGGTGTTTGGATCGACTTGTCGATGCTTCCATTTGCACATGGGTTGACGATTGTGACATCTACAAGAATGAGCTTGGTGCAGAGTTCCTTTTCGATATTTCCTGCCCGTAATCCTGGGAGGACCACCGAATCCATCTCGCAGAGCTCCCTTACCAGAGTGCCTGTGGTAGTGGGGACGATTTATCAACGGCGACTGACATGTGGTACTCGCGTAATGTCTTCAGTATGACGCAACCATCCTGTTGTTCACGAATATTGATGCCCCGGCTTTCGCGCAGACGAGGGGGTGGGCCCGGCTCAACGTTCGTTGCATGGGGACAACGCACCCGTACCGCAGTTGCCTGTTTTCGTCGCAGTCAGTTCGATCGTGATTCCCTGCGTAGGGTAAACATGACCAATTGACTCTGTTTCTGTGTGTTCGTCCCATCTATTCTGGCGCCGGTTTACAGAGGCCTTTCGGTCGGCGTTATATACTTGACGTATCGGCCGTGCCCGTTTTAACCCTGAGCAGCAACTCTTCCCTTTGTTTGTACGCTCTGCGAACTATTTATTGTTATTGTATGCATATGGCGGACGGAATAATAGCAGATGATCGTCGGGTACAGCGGTCCGGAAGAAAATACTTAAAAACAAAACTTATAGATAACTGCCATCGTAGAAGAACGCCTCCTGAACCCGTCCCACGTCGGAGACCGCATCTCGCGCCCACTCAGCAGCACGGAAAGAGAGGGGAAGAGAGAGCCAGCACATTGCTGCACATGGAGTCGAACCAGCGTCCGAAGCGCGCGAGAACCGCCGCCGCCACGGTGGCGTCCAAAGCGGTGAGGGATCCACCATTCTGATCCTTTAACCCAAAATTCCCCTCTGTCCAGGACACAAACCTCCACGGAAAAACATGCACGTGCCATCTGTGCATTATAAACGAGATAGACTATGTGAGAGTCTGCTGGCCGTGGCTGTAGGTCCTGATGTAGATGCTCTCTCTTTGGTATCCAGGTGTTCAATCCAGCTTGCCTTGTTCCCACGTAAGGCGTCAATCAATACAGACGGTTGTGTATGTTTGCTTATCGTTGGGATGTATTCGCCCGCCAGAGCCATCGGCACAAGTCGAACCACCACGTACATTAACACTCGGCCCACTTAGACTACAGGGTACACAAGCGTGTAACGACGAGGGAGTTGCCACATGAAGATGGCGACCATTTTGGGCCTCGCCCGCGTGCACATTCGTCCAAGTGCCAGCGGCAATATGTGTGCGTGGTGCGTGTACAATCGAGACCCGTTGCTGCGCGAGTAACCACCACCATGCACCTCGACGACGGCACCACATGTTTTTCGTGTCTTGATGTGCACTGGGTAGGGAGAACGGAACGGTTTTTCAATGTGAAAACAAGAATGTGTGTGACAGGATACACCAAGCGCGCCCTGCCACGCCCTTCTTGGAAAATCATCGACAGCATGTGTTAATGGGAGACAATTGTAACTGCAGAGGAGATATTTTCGCACGAGGGCCACTCAGTAGTCTATTGGGAACCAATCAGGTGGAACAAGTTTACGTGGCGGCACTCAACACTATATTACGAGCTGCAGAGCCCCCAAAAGTTACTTATCAAACCTGTGTGAAGGAGCAAGGGGCAAATGACCCCCCTACACCCAGAGAGTGTAGTTTACAGTAGTTGAGGGGCTGGCAGAAACTGACACCGTGCGAGGTGACAGTAGGGCGCTGAAGAGAACACGCTCCCCAGTTGGTTACCGTAAAGAGGCGGAAAGATGACACGCCCCCTAGAGCGACTTCCAAAGCTTGATTGGTCCACAAACAAGTGGGTGCGGAAAGAGCCCGATTCGTCTTCGGAAAAGCCCTCGACGAGATGTTTCCAAAAGCACCGTTGTTGGTATTGGCACATGCTTGGCTGTGGAGCAATCGATAATTGGAAGTCGGTCTCGGGGGGGGGGGGTTAACTCTCCGCCTCTTACGGTACCGTAGGTTGCGTAAGATATCACGCCCCCTGGCCCGATTTTTAAAGCTCGATTACTCGGCGAGGAAAGCAGCGACGGTGCCGAAAATGGCAAACAAGGAATCGTCTCGTCGAGAGCTTTTCCGACAACTTATCCTTTGATTTCAGCATCCTCTTCGTCGTGGAGAAATGAAGCCTTGGAAATCGCTCCAGCGGGTGTGGTATCTTGTGCAACGTACGGTAGTCGTGCCGGCGGCGTCGGCGCGTATGCACGAGAGATACAGCAGTCAGTGGCAGAGTTTCGAATAGTTGTAGCCGTGCCCATGTACAAAGACCAAGTGTGCACGTAGGTTTCGACAAAAATCCTTCATGCATTCCATCAACATGAACAGCCGCAGCAGCAATGGCAGTACATAGACAACCAACAACGTTGAGGTCGTGCGCCAGCCACCGCGCTCTCTCGGGCGGTGGGTGTAGCAGCACGTGTCTGCCGAGATGTTCGTCGTCTGTGTTCATTCGTCTCGTCGCGATCCCCGTTTGCGCGCACAAACAGCCCTCCGCTCAAAACCACGACTGACTGCTTGTCTCATCCTTGTCTGTATATACCCATCTCCCTGATGCGCCGCCTGGTAACACGCCCACGTGCTGCATAATCTTACCACACTCCTTCAACAACACCAACAACAAACAGGCGGCAGCGGCGAAGAAGTCGACGGCCGCCGCTTCGAAGAAGGCGAAAACCTCCACCAAGGCCGCTGCGGCTGCCGCCACCGCCGCCGCCACCACCGCGCGTGCCACCGCTCCCAAGGTCAAGAAAACCGCCGCAAAGCCCGCGGCTGCCGCAAAGCCTGCCGCAAAGCCTGCCGCAAAGCCTGCCGCAAAGAAGAAGGGTGGTCCCCTCGAGGTAGATAATGACTGTTGGGGATGCAGTGAACATGGTTGGCCCCTTGTTGGGTTCGTTTTGGCTGTTATCCTGTTGGTTGTTTCGAGGGAGAATTGTGGGGTGGAGCAGCGCACGAGCTGCGCAAGAAATATGCTGAGGTTGGGCGTGTTTTGCTCTTGTTTTTTGTTTTTTCTTTACAGGTTTGTGGACGTACGTATGTATGTGGGAAAAATCATTTAAAGATACAAACGGAGGAACGTTACCGATGCTGTGCGTTCGAAATTTCGCAGCCAGCAACAGAGTAGAGAGAGGTCGGCGTGGCGGTGAAGCGGTGTTGTGCAAAATACATGATACCAGGTTCGTTTCTTTTTTTTTCGGCCGGGGNGGGGGGGGGGGGGGGGGGGGGGGGGGGGGGGGGGGGGGGGGGGGGGGGGGGGGGGGGGGGGGGGGGGGGGGGGGGGGGGGGGGGGGGGGGGGGGGGACTACAGTTTTGGTCGTGCCTGCTTTGTGCCAGGCGTGATTATATGCATAGTATTCTTGATTCACGGGCGTTTTTTTTGTTGTTTCTGTTTGTTGTGCACAGGTCGGCACCGAAGCTCCCCCCTTCGCGGTGAAGGACCAGGACGGCGCAGAGGTCACCCTCGAATCCTTCAGGGGGGAAAATAACGTGGTCGTGTTCTTCTACCCCAAGGACAATACTGTGAGATAGATAAATGGTAGATAGGTTGGCCTCGTACAGCAGTAGTGCTCTGCGAGGTATCGAACGCGTAGTAACTGGTCGATGCGTTATGTGGCTCCCTCCGTTTCGTCGAGAGTACGGCATCCTTCGAAATGGATAGCCCGGGACCAGCCAGCCGCCGTAAGGAACGACGAACCTCTGGATAGATAGATGGATGCCTTGGTAGGGTCGTCAAGCTCGCTGCAGACTTGTTGTTGTTGTTGTCGATGTTGCTGCGGTGGTGGTGGCCGTCGCCGTTACCGTATGAAACACCTGTCTAATTGTCTTAGGGTTGCTACCCGCTCGTCTTCCGATATGCTGTCCCTCTCTCGGTGCGCGCGCACTCACCCTTCTGCTCTCTACCGACGTCATGGCCCCCGCCCTACCGCGTTGCTCGACATGATCATGTCACATGTTGGTGTACTGTTGTCTTTTTTCATGGACGGGGTACCGACGGTGAATGGTGGTGAACGGTGACAGCCCGGCTGCACGAAGGAGGCTTGCAAGTGAGAGAGAGAGAGAGAGTTCGAGGGCAGCATTCGCTCTTCTGTGTGTGGTTGTCGTCATCGTCGGTCGCTGCTGTTGCTGTTGCTGTTGCTTTTGCTGTTGTTGTTGTGGTCGTTGCTTACGATGGGCACGGGGAAGAGAGCATGCAGTGCAGGTTCACCAGTTCCTCTCTCGCTCTCGTTCCCCCTTCTCCGGCACCATTTGGTACATTGTCCCTACCCAACGGTCGCTCCAAAACGCACGCTGCGGCATCGGTTGGTTAATCTTCCTGCTGTACAGTTCTAGTAGTACGATCCCCCGGTTAAGAAACATTTTGTGAAGAATCAGAGGCAGGTCACATTTTCAAAAAAACAAATGGGTTAAGAACCTCACTTCACGTGTGGGTCCTTACACAAAACTCTATGCAACACTACATAACAACCGCACGACATGCTTCTAAAAGGCTGTGATGTGTTTGTGGGTGGGGGGCAACGCAGATTCCGCGACTTGAAGGACGAGTACGACCGTCTGGACTGCGCGGTGCTGGGCGTCAGCGCCGACCACGAGGTCAGCCACGGCAAGTTCATCGCCAAGTACGGCCTCAACTTCAGACTGCTCGCCGACACCGACAGGTAGGCGTTACAGTGGGTGTGCTTGCTGTTGTTTTGAGTTGGTTGTCTGTGGCATGTATGAAATTAGCGTCGTCTGCCGACGCTGACAGGTAGGTATAACAGAAGTGTGGTCGGGTAGTTTTTGGAGGTTGGTGTTTTGGGTTTGGTGTGCGCGTTGTGGTACGAACTAAGCATCGACCGCAACAGAACCGGCTGACCATCCAAAAAGGATGGACGCTCAGGGCCACCGGGCGGCACAATAATCAAGGCTCCTTGGAAAGGGAGCCACGAGTAGTTCGATCGTGCGCAACGCCGAGAGATGAATCTCTATACTAAATCCTTTCGGTGAGATGCACAACCCCTGCAAACTAGTCTGTTTTTTCTTGAATCGAAGACACGCTTGTTGTTTTGTCTGGCTGTGTCGCTTCGTGGCAGGTCCCTGATCAAGTCGTACGGGGCGTCCAAGGCGGGCGATAAGATCCAGCGCAGCACCGTCCTAGTGGACAAGGAGGGAAAGGTAGCGGCCGTCTGGAACCCGGTGAGTTGTGTCAACCATTGCTATCATCTCGCCCCTGTCTCGACGGTTTCACCTCGTCAGCGAAAACAGGTTTTTGTTTGTGTGTTGCTATCGTTTGCGTGGCATTTGCTGTTGTGGATTGGGGGGTTGTCGTCGTCGTTGGCAGTGTTGTCGTAGTCGTTGTCGTTTGGCCTCTTCGGATTGGCTTGAATCGGGGCCTATTCTCCAGGAAAACACCTCCCCAGGTCCGCCTCGCTCCGACCGGTAGCTAAACATGCCTCTCTACCGGCCAGAGGAAAGTAAATAATTGTTGTCTGACCCGATTTCGCTTCTTTTGTTTGGTTTTGCCCCTGCGAATTAAAACAAATCCCACTACCCCCCTTCTCCATCTACCGCGTCTAACACGGAGACTACAGTGTCGTTGGGTTTG